CAGAAACTTGGTGGAATGATGATAATGAATAGGCCATGGTAATACTAGGGTACAAAAGATATAGGAATGACAGAATAGGTCGCACTGGTGGGGGAGTGACACTATAATGTGAAAGAAAGCATAGAGTCAAATAAATTAAAAATCTTAAATAAATCAAACTATACCATAGTATCGCTATGGATAGAAATTCCATGCTTGAATAATAAGAGTATAGTAGTAGGAAAATGCTACCAACCACCTGACCAGGATGGTGACAATGACTGTGAAATGCTCATGGAAATTAGACAGGCTAGAAAACAAAAAGCCCAATAATAATGCGGGATTTCAACTATCCTCATATTGACTGGGAAATGTCGCCTCAGGACAGGATACAGAGCTAAAATTTCTAGACACCATTAATGGCTGCTTCTTGGAGCAGCTTGTCCTGGAACCCACAAGGGCAGAGGCAATTCTTGATTTAGTCCTAAGTGACGCACAGGATCTGGTCCAAGAGGTGAATATAGCTGAACCGTGCAGTAATAGTGACCATAATGTAATTAATGTTAACATCTTAATTCCAAAGAAACCCAGCACAGTAGCATTTAATTTCAAAGAGGGGAACTACAGAGAAATGAGGAAGCTAGTTAAATGGATATTAAAAGGAACACTCACACGAATGAAATGCCTGCAAACTGCATGGAAACTTTTTTAAAGTACCATGACAGAGGCTCAAACTAAATGTATACCCCAAGAAGCTTTCTAACAATGGGTGGGCCATTGGTGCCCAAATCGTGGTCCCACCCTCTGCACTGCCCCTTCTCCCCTGCCCTGCCCCTTCCCTCAAGGCCCCACCCTGCCCCTTTTCCCCAAGCTCCTACCCCTTCTCCCCAACACCCCACCCAGTCCCTTCTCTCTGAGCCCCTACCCTCACACTACCCCTTCCCCTGAGGCTACACCCCCACACTGCCCCTTCTCCCCAAGCTCCTGCCCTTATGCTGCCTCTTCCCCAGAAGCCCTGCTTCCACACAGCCTCTTCCCCCCAAAACCCCGCCCCCCCCAGTCGTTCATCCTTAGGGCCGATAAAAAGTGGACGGGCATAGCCCTGCCTCTTTTAAAAGTGCGAAGGGCATGGTGCTCGGCAGGGCCGGCTCCAGGCACCAGCTGAGCAAGCTGGTGCTTGGGGCGGCAGATTGTTCGAGACGGCATTCTGCCCAATCCTAGGGCGGCATGGCCGCTTTTTTTTTTGTTCCACTCCAGCCGCCCTTTATGGGGTGGCAGCGCGGAGGACCGGAGCGCTCTGCAGGGCAGTCCTCTTCCTTCCCTCCCCGCCGACTGGAGCAGAGCCCTCAGGGCAGGCGGAAAGAGGCGGCGCAGCAGGAGGGGCCGTGTGGCTGCGCCCCTGCTGTAGCCCTGGCCGCCCCCTTCTCTCTCTCTCCCGCCCGCTCCCTCTCCCTTCCCCCCCCCCCGCCGGTCCCCCCGCACCGGCGCTTCGCCTGCGCCGCAGGTTTTTTGGTTTTTTTTTTGTGCTTGGGGTGGCCAAAAAGCCAGAGCCGGCCCTGGTGCTTGGCTCTTCCTGTTCTGGCACCCCTGCTCTGGACCCCTTCCTATGGAGGGCCATCTCCTCTGCTGAGGTAAATCACCGTAGCTCATTGAGTTTATAGACCTACAGTGATTGACACCAGCTGGGGAGCTGGGCTGGCCCGTTGATGAGAAGTCTGAACTGGCGAATCTCTGGTCCCTTTGAAGGTTAGCTGCATCTCTGGTAACACGGCCCAGGTGAATGTATCTAAACAAATATGTGTTTGGGAGGCGCGAGGTACTTCTGACCTTCTCACATGTCCTGCTGGTGCAGCCCTCACATAGGGCCAGATCCTGGGAGGTGCTGAGCATCCTCCTCTTCCTGTGAATATGGGAGCTGCACTCAGCCCTTTGCAGGATCAGGACCAGAGATGGGTGCTGTGATGTGAGTCCCCAGGCTGGAAAGAGGCTGTCTCCACAGGTTTCCGGCAGGAGACAATTGCAGATCAAAGTGCACAATGGGGACCCACCCTGGGCGGATCACTGAGAACTTTGTATGAGGGGAGGCAGTAAAAGTCATGTGACGCACCTGTTCCTTGGGTGGGTGTTTTAGTTAGCATGAACACGGAGCATCGTATTTCCATTCAAGTCACAGCGAGGGTCCCTGGAGACTACGTGCCACAGCATAGTCCGAGGCCAAGCCCACCACGATCCAAGCTAGACACTGCACCCTAATCAGCTGCCTGGATTGTGATGGCGCCTCTCGGGGGCCAGTCATCTCCGCAGGCCCCGCAGCAGAGAAGTAGCATTTCCAGCAACATCCATCACCTGTCAGCAGTCAGAGCTGGAATCGTCCTTGAGCCCCCTCCTTCCATTCCCGGGCTGGGACAGGACTGCTCCCTATTGCATATCTGCCAGTGCTTCACTGGTCTGGTGTCAACTGTCCCGAGTGAGGGGCTCTCAGGCCATTTGTGGGAGACGATTCCACAGCCCAAGCCATCTCCTGTCCAGGGCATGTCCCCTTCAACCTCACCCATTCCTCCCATGACATCCCTGGGTCTGCACTGAGTACCTGACGGGTCCCCCTTGATCCAGGCAAAGCTAGTGGGCACAGAGAGTGCCAGGCCTCTTTGAGGGAATGGCCCCATGCCTGTGGGATCCTGGCAGCTAGCACCCTGCCCGTGGTTGAGCACTGCCGGGCAAGACCAATCCCTTACTCTGGCAGCTAGGTCTACCTGTCTCTGTAATGCCCCCAGCCTGCAGATCATGTCATAAGAACATAAGAACGGCCATACTGGGTCAGACCAAAGGTCCATCTAGCCCAGTATCCTGTCTTCCGACAGTGGCCAATGCCAGGTGCCCCAGAGGAATGAACAGAACAGGTAATCATCAAAAAGCAACAAAGAGTCCTATGGCACCTTATAGACTAACAGACGTATTGGAGCATACGCTTTCGTGGGTGAATACCCACTTCATCAGACACATGTAGTGGACTCTTTGTCGCTTTTTACAGATCCAGACTAACACGGCTACCCCTCTGATAGGTAATCATCAAGTGATCCATCCCCTGTTGCCCATTCCCAGCTTCTGGCAAACAGAGGCTAGGGACACCGTCCCTGCCCATCCTGGCTAATAGTCATTGATGGACCTATGCTCTATAAACTTATCCAGTTCTTTTTTGAACCCTGTTATAGTCTTGGCCTTCACAACATTGTCTGGCAAAGAGTTCCATAGATTGACTGTGTGTTGTGTGAAAAAATACTTCCTTTTATTTGTTTTAAACTAGGGCTGTCAAGCGATTAAAAAAAATAATCACAATTAATTGCACGATTACAAAAATTAATCACGATTAATTGCACTGTTAAACAATAATAGAATACCATTTATTTAAATATTTTTGGATGTTTTCTACATTTTCAAATATATTGATTTCAGTTACAACACAGAATACAAAGTGTACAGTGCTCACTTTATATTTATTTTTGATTACAAGTATTTGCACTGTAAAAAAACAAAAGAAATAGTATTTTTCAATTCAACTAATACAAGTACTGTAATGCAATCTCTTTATCATGAAAGTTGAACTTACACATGTAGACTTATGTACAAAAAAACCTGCATTCAAAAATAAAACAATGTAAAATTTTAGAGCCTGCAAGTCCACTTAGTCCTACTTCTTGTTCAGCCAATCGCTCAGACAAGTTCTTACCCACGAAAGCTTATGCTCCCAATACTTCTGTTAGTCTTAAAGGTGCCACAGGACCCTCTGTTGCTTTTTTCAGACAAACAAGTTTGTTTACATTTGCAGGATATAATGCTGCCCGCTTCTTGTTTGATATGATATGAAAATGTAGAAAAACATCCAAAATATTTAATACATTTCAATTGGTATTCTATTATTTAACAGTGCAATTAAAACTGTGATTAATCACAATTAATTTTTTGAGTTAATCATGTGAGTTAACTGTGAGTTAATCGACAGCCCTATTTTAAATCTGCTGCCTATTAATTTCATTTGGTGACCCCTAGTTCTTGGATTATGAGGAGTAAATAATACTTCCTTATTTACTTTCTCTACACCAGTCATGATTTTATAGACTTCAATCATATACCCCTTAGTCATCTCTTTTCCAAGCTGAAAAGTCCCAGTCTTATTAATCTCTCCTCATATGGAAGCCGTTCCATACCACAAATAATTTTTGTTGCCCTTTTCTGAACCTTTTCCAAGTCCAATATATCTTTTTTGAGATGGGGCGACCACATGTGCACGCAGTATTCAAGATGTGGGCATACCCTGGATTTATATAGAAGCAATATGATATTTTCTGTCTTATTTCCTATCCCTTTCTTAATAATTCCCAACATTGTCTTTGCTTTTTGGACTGCTGCTGCACATTGAGTGGATGTTTTCAGGGAACTATCCACAATGACTCTAAGATCTCTTTCTTGAGTGGTAACAGCTAATTTAGACCCCATCATTTTATATGTAGCATGCCCTAGGATGCTCTGCCTGGGGGCGCCCTGTCACCCTCCCCCACCGTGCTGGGGGTGGTCTGGTTATGCTACGGGGATCCCAGTGCGGGGAGGCTCCGTCGCCCTGTCCAGCCATGCTGGTGGGCCCTATCAGAGATCCCCATCGCCCTGCCGGTCCGGGGTGGGCCGCGGCCCACGGCTCCTCCAGCTGACCCCGCTGCAGCAAGCTCGATCTTCCCAGGCTGGTCTGGTCTGCCGGACAGGAGGCAGCGCCCTCTGCTGGCGGCTGTGCGCGTTACAGCTCTCACACTCCCGGAAGAGTCCATTGGGTGAAGGGGCACGCACAACCCCTACTCGCACCTCCAACTGCGCTGTTGGTACGGCCCGGCCGAGCCGTCGGGCTGTGGTGTGGCGGACCGGGCGCGGTGGCTGCTGGGAGTTGTAGTCCCAGGGGGCGGGAGCTGTCTTGCGCGACGGGGCGGACGGACTCGCTTTCCCGTGCTGCCCCGCGACTGGCTGTGGTGGTGCGAGTCGCTGGGTCCGGGGCGCTCGCTGGCCGCTCTCGCCGCTGCTGGGTCCCCGGCCGGTCCGGTCCGGTCCCGCCATGGGCTCCCTGCTGAGCCGGCGCATCGCGGGCGTGGAGGACATCGACATCCAGGCCAACTCGGCCTATCGCTACCCGCCCAAGTCCGGTAAGGGCGGTTCGGCCCGGGGGAGCCCCCCCCCAGCGCCTCGACCCCCCGCCCTCCCTCCATCCCCCCGGGCCTCGACCCCCCGCCCTGTCCCCGCATCAACCTCCTGTCAGCCCCCCAGCGCTCCCCCCGGGCCTCGGCCCCCTCCGTTCCTCCCAGCGCCCCTGAGCATCGCGCTCTCCCCTGGGCCCTGGCCCCCCTTGGCGGTGCTCAGGTTTGGGGCTTGGCTCCCGATTCTGCCCCCAGGAGGTTGCTTTCACCCTGCACCCGTTCCCCGGGGCCTTGGGAAGGTTGGAGGTTAAAGGCCACTGTGTGATGCAGTTGTGTAGGTGTGATCAGCGCAGTCCCAAGGTACACTGACCAGTTAACGCCCATCCGGCACACACCCCCTTGTGTTATTGACCGTGAAGTTATTACTTCAGACAGAGCTTGCTGGGCCTCACCTGTGCAGTTTGATTGCTGCTATCACTGCTTAGGTGGCACGCAGCCGGCCAGGTCCCTCTTTTGGGGCCCCTGTCCTAGCCCAAGGGTGCAGAGTTTGGGTTGCACACATGATGGGAGAATTTACATCATGGGAAGATTTTTTTTCACCATGGCACTTATAGAGACCTTTGCTTATCAAACACTTAAAAATGATGGGCCTGTAATGCCTGCCAGGAGTCCTTTGGGTTGTGTTATATAGTACAGGAGAGGGGAGCTCCCTGGGAAAAGAATGGGTGTGGATCTGCAAGTGGAGTTTTAAGAGCACTTCATGGGCTTTTGGGGCTTAGCCCTGCTCTTCTAAAACTCAGAGCATTTGACTTCTTTACACCATAAGGGCTGTTCTCTATTTCCCCATCTCTGCATTTAACTTCCTTCTTGTATGGTGTAAACAATACAGGGTGTGTGGTGCTCAACAAAAATTACTGGGTGGGATAATGGTCTCTGTCAGGGAAATGCTTCCTTCCGGCCAGTATCTGACCTCAGGGTTAAAGACACAGAAAGCAACACCTTGCAGTAAGAGGACAGCATCTCCTCAGACTAAATACTTCCTGCTGTCACTGCATGGATTGGAGACAGCCCCTTGCACCATCAGAACTTAACAAGAAACGCATGCCTCCACAGAGCAGGGAGAAACCCTGATTCTTACTGAATCAATAAATCTGTAACTTCCAGGCTGTCCGGCCCCAAAAGTCCTACGGAAAGGACTTTTTCGCCTGACGGTATAAATGTATTGCTTAAATAAAAAGGTTCTGTTTGATTTTTTTTCCCTTTCACTCTTCCCTGGGACCTGTATGGCTGCAAAGGCTCCCAGCCTGCCACTTCTGTTTTGCTCCATCCATCATTTTCCTTTCTTCCTTTCTCCTATGAATGGGAGGCTTGTTCAGTGTCATTAATTCTGCTTACGGAGGGATTTTTGTCTATAGTCCATGGGACAAGGTCATTTGATTCTTCTGATTGGTGAATTCCTCAAACTGGGAGGTCCAGAGACCCCAGAATGTGACTACCAAGCTCCAGCCTGAAGGTTGCACAAATCTGAACTGAAGATGCGATTGCCTGTCACTAGTTAAAGAGAGTTGGGAGTGTTCCCTCTAATTTTTCCCACACATGGTCTGGACTGGGTTGGGGCTGGGGAGAGGTGCCCCTCCCCCGGCTGTGGCAGGTTAGGGCTGGGGGAGGGGTGCCCCAGCTGTGGCAGGTCTGGGGCTGGGTTTGGACTGGGGGAGAGGCACCTCTCCCCCGGCCGTGGCAGGTCCTGGCCTGGCGGGTTCCCTGAGTGCCTGTGCAGTGCTTAATAGGCACAGCTTACAGGGAATTTAGGTTGGGACATCCAGTCCTGAATCCCCACAGCCTTCAAGACTCTAGGTTCCCCTAAAAGTTGCTCCTGAGTATTGGTTTGCAAGGGACGATAGGAACCAGACTGATGTGTTAACTTATCTGTTAACGTGAAACATTTTTATCAGGCCTTCTAGCTGCTCTCCTAGCGATGACAAACACACACAAACATCTGTGTTGCCAATGCCATGTGACTCTTTATCCTTTGTGTCTCTTACCCTCCCCAGGATAATTAACTGGCATCCAAAGAAATCAGGGGCATCTGTTGCCATGGGACTGTAGAGATGTGGTTAAATTATACTTAAAGGTGAAGCTTTCTGTGGGGGCAGAAGTGTTTGTGTTCCACCATTTAAAAGGTGGCTGTCAAAGAGCTCTGTGTCTCTGGCATCTTTTCCCAAGGGCTTCTTAAACAGATGCCCTTGTGCTTGTTCTGGAGAGAGACTGCGGTGATCAACAAACCTGAGGCACTGTTCCCTGGTATATGTCAGCAGTGGTCAAACCAGTGTATCAATAGTCTTTAAATGGCCTGATGAGAGGGAAAGGAAGGGGGATGTTGGTGGTCTTGGGGTGATTTGAAATGTATAGGGGAACCAGCCTACTAACTGAAAAAGCAAGAGACTTATGGTGCTGCTTTGTGTAATTGGGATGTAAGGCCGGTTATCACAGTGGGTTCTAGATGTAGGCTCCTGACAGCTGTAATTTGTCAGTCCTCCTGGCATTTAGATTACTGTGATGTTTCTTCAGAGGGAATGATGAACTAATTCATCTTATTTGAAGAGGCTCAGAGTATGTATGGACAGAAGACATTGTTTGTGAGACATTTCTCAGTAGTTGCAGCAGTTTGATTATAGGGATGTTCATTGACTGGTCCCCAGGCAGTTCTCTATTTCCCACAGTGGGTACAGAACTCCTGACCCTGAATTTCCAGAGATGGACAGCCACCTTCAGCATTGAGTTCTGTGGGGATAGGCCTGCTTCCTAAAGGCATGCACAATCCTGACCCTGCCTAAAAAGGCTTGAAACTCAGGCCTGGTCTACACTACATGGTTAGTAAGTTGCCTTGCGTCGACCTAGCTGTGAAAGCGTCTTCACTTAACTTTGTCTCCTCATGACAGACCTCTCTACGCCGATTTAGTAATGCCACCTCCTTGAGCGGCATAGAGCCATGGTCGATGTCATTAGGTTGACGCGGTGTCAGTGTAGACACTGCATTGCTTATGTCAACTATTACTGGGTTTCAGGATCTGTCCCACATTGATAGTACAATTGACACAAGTGCTCCTGGGGAGGACACGCACCGCCGACACAAGAAGCCAAGTGTGCGCACACAAACGATTTAATAACTGCGGTGGCTGTATGATTTTGGCACCATCCCATCTTGTCCCAGAGTACATCTACAGAAAGGGATACTTCTCTATGGTTATGCAAGTGTTGGTGGATCATGGGGGATGCTTCGCCAACATCAACATGGTCTGGTCCAGGAATGCGCGTGATCCTCGCATCTTTAGGAATGCAGGACTGTTCAGAAAGCTGCAAGCAGGGACTTTCTTTCCCAACCAGCGGATTACCATTGGTGATATTGAAATGCTAATAATGATCCTGGTGGATCCAGCCTACCCCTTACTCCCCTGGCTCATGGAGCTGTATACCGGCCACCTGGACAGCACCAAGGGAGAGATTCATTGGCTCAGCAAGTGCAGAATCCCAGTTGAATGTGCTTTTGGTAGATTGAAGGGATGCTAACGTTGTTTACTCACCAGATTGGATCTCTGTGAGAAAAATATCCCAATGGTTATAGCTGCCTGCTGTGTCTTGAATAGTATCTGTCAAGCAAAGGGGAAAAGTTGCTGCCAGGATGGAGATGAAGCAGCTGTCCACTGAGTTTGAGCAGCCAGATGGAAGGGTTATTAGAAGAGCTCAGTGCAGAGCTGTACAGCTCAGGGAGACCTTGTGGCTCACTGTTAAAACGCTCTTTCAGTAATGCATAGTGGTGTACTGTGCTCTACCTGGCTCTGCTGTTTTAGGGGACTGTTAGGAGTTGTGTGCTGCTTGGTGTACATCTGTGAATATAACACTGCCAATGCACCTATTAATTTGGTGGTGCTTGCTGTACATTTATGATTATTATGCTGTCACTGATCCTATGAGTTGTGTCATGCTGACTAACAAGTAAGTGGATGCTTTCAGTTCTGGTAGGCATTCTGCAGCACATCTTGGGAATTAATAAACATGAATTATTTTCTGAACAATAGAATTTAATTGAGTAACAAAACCCATGTGCAAAAAAATTTTTTTGTGTGTGCAATTTAAAAGCAAATACATAAAAATCTTAATACATGAATGGAACTTAACAAGGAGAAAGAACGTTCATGTCCATTTTGGCTACACATACAGCAACCGTGGCTTTCATAGGTCAGGGTATGTGACACTACTAGCCTGTGTGCTGCAATGGTGCCTGGCAATGTTATCACCCACTGGTGTGGGAAAGTGTCCTACTGCGGAGGAAGAAATAAGACTGTCATCCCTAGAAACCTTTGGGAGAGGACTGCAAAGTACCTCCAGGAATGTTTCATTGAGCTCTCTCAGGAGCATTCAGGGGACATCCCTGTGCACACAAACTGCTCTGTATGGCCCCCTTTCTCAAACTGTACAGGGCAATGAAAAGCAGAGAACTCCTCTACCTCTCCTAGTATAAGTAAATTAATGCAAAGTCGATAGCTGCTACATTAGGGGTGCCATCAGTATATCATTATAATGGGACATACATTTACACGGTTACCTGATGTTCCTTCCCCCGCATCAGGCTCGCCTGTGCTCAATGCCATGACTGACTGAACTGCAGTAGAGTCTCAAACGGATACTGGCTTGAGGTATAGCTGGAGCCCCTGGATGCATGTAGCAGGCATAGTCGGCTGGGCAATTGCACACAATAGTAGATGACTGCTAGGTGTGCTTGCCAAGCTGTCCAATCGGGAATAGGCATTTCAAAAAATTGCGGGGTTTTAAAGATCAGCTGCTGGAGGACTGTTAAGGTCGACATAGGTAATGCAGTGTCTACACTTTCACTGCATCGATCTCAGTATGTCGACCCTGGCTCTACACCTCTCAGGGAGGTGGTGCTACTGCATTGCTGTAATGGAGCACTTACATCGGTGGGAGACAAATTTAAGTGTAGAGACACATGC